CTTCCGCTGGTTTTGATGTGGTTTTTTTTATTAGAGTGATTACCTCTGTTGGTGTTGTTGGAGGAAGAAAGAAGTTCATGTGAAATTTATTGATTTCCATATGATAGTTGGGAATTGCATTATTATTTTGATTCTTTTCTATAAAATATTTATTGATTGAATTTGCCATATTTTCAATAAGTAGGTTTTTATTATTAACCGTTTTTATTATGTTAGATAGGGGTTGATGTATTTTGTTATGGTTTTCAGTTATTATTTTCCAGCTTTCTTTCATGATATTAGAGCTATTTCAAGACGGGCATTATTCTTTTGTTGCAAGTATTTTGATGTGATTTTTTTATATTCTTTTTAAAGGAATTGTAACTTTGTGTGTAGTTTGAGTTGTTTAATTCCTTTCGTAGTCTATTCATTTCACACAGCATATTGTGCATATCTTTGATGCGTTTGCGAAAATCATTGTTTCTACGAGTTTTTGTTCGTTTAGTTAATTTAGGGAAAACTACATTATAGTGGTACAAGAATGTTTAGTAAAAGGCTGATATTTTTTCTTGAAAGTTTACCGCTGAGAACATATCTATCCAAGCTTCCCTTGATAGTATGTTACGGAGAGTATTTATGTTAGATTCGTGAAGATTACGTGTGGAAATGTATTTAATACTACTATTTATAGTTGAGACTACTTTGAAAGAACCAATTTGATAAGTGTGGTCAGACAGAAAAGTATCAATTACTTTAATGTTAGTTGAGTTGACATTACTAAAAAAATTATCAATGCAGGTTGATGAAGTTTTAGTTACTCTTGTGGGGACATTTATGAAATGCTTGATATTATATTCACTGAATAAATTCATAAGGTCATGTTTTTGATTACTTTCTACTGAGAAATTACTATTAAAATCCCCACAGATGATTATTTGATTACAGTTTTTGTAAAAACTGGAAATTAATATTTCCATCTGCATGAAAAATTGTTTGAAATTGTTGGTATCTGGGGGGTCTATATAAAGAGAAAATATAAAAACAACCCGGTGATATTTGGCTAGTTAATTTTCCACCGCATATTTCAAATATGTCTTCAATGCACCAAGTATTTACGTTTATGTGCTCAATGTTTAGCTCTGTGATGATATCATTTCTACAAAATAAACAGGCACCCCCGTTTTTTCTTGTTGTTCTTGAGAAATGAGACAATAGTTGGAAATTAGGAGTTACAGTTGCTTGAATGTTGATAGTATGGAGCCAGTGTTCGATGACACACAAGATACGTCCTCTTTTTGTAATATGATGTCTAGATCAAAACATTTTTTTGCTAAGCAAAAAATCTTCCTGGATTTGATGATGTAGACGTGGTTACTCCAGTTTCACTTATAAAAAAGACTATTGCCGACCAGAACTTTCTTCATCTTGGGTCTGCCTCTTGTTGTTATCTAAGAAATTTTGTCCTCGTTTGAAGTTAAATATTTCAAATGTGATTTTGTTTGGCCAGAACTTTTCTTCATATACTAATTGTTTGAATTGAGGTTCTACTCCCACCATAAACGATTGATTATCCTTCCTTGTAAGTAGTTTGAGTTTTCAGTTTTTTTACTTTTATATTCTTGGAATTTGTTTCTCAATATTTTCAGCAGTGACTGACTCTGGGACTTTTGATATAAATAGCCATATTTTCTTGTCTGGATTATCTTTTCCATAAAAATTTTCGTCACCATTTCCGCTTCCAAATTTTGAATTTATTTTTCTTTTTTGTGTGTGTGTAGTCCATTCCTGTTCAATAGTATTTTCATTTGAATTTACTAAGTTAGTATAATATTCACATTTTTCTTTGGTATGTATTTGCATCAATTCAGCATTCATTTTGTTTACAGTTATTTTTGGTACCCCCTGTGTATCGGAGTTTCCTTCTGGTTGTTGCTTGTTTTTGTTATCCAGTAATGATGGTCTTCATATTTTTTACTGCAATTGAGAACAGAGATAGAGTTTTTTCTGAGTCTGGTTTTTGTTTGGATCCGTTGTTCATTTTTTGTGTCTCTGCTTGATAATTTGAAGTTTGTTTGTTATTTATTTGCCGATTCAGTTCCTTTTCCAACATTAAAATCTTCTCATTTAATAAATAAATAAAATCGTCTAAAGTATAAAATGCTCCTTGGATTAAGAACTTTTTCAGTGTATGTTTAAAAGTTTTTATTTATTTACTAAATTTAATTAACATATCACTTGAGAACTGGTATGTTTCCTGATCAATTTAATATTTCCACTATTGTTTCTGTAGGGACAACTAACTCAATTGAAGCCGAACATTTTAGGCCATCAATACTACCAACTCTTGAAATAATGTTGGAACTGTTTGTATATAACCAATTAATTCGGTATTTTGATAGCAATGACTTTAAAAGGGCATTTGTAACAATTTATTAAAATATTCTACTTGAAAAATTCATGTATTATGGGATATCAGGTATTGTTTTTGAACCAGTTACTTCTTCAACAGAAGACAAAAAACCAAATTTGGAAAAGAATTGTTAGACGAACTTACAATTGAGAGTGGCATACCCCAGGGTAGTGTGTTAGGTCCATTGCTTTTTATTATTTATCTAAATGATATTAACCACATTTCTGGATCACATTATATACATGGAAAATTTAGATCAGGCAATTGTTGAAATGAATAGGTCTTTAAATAGCACTGAAACATTTATTTATTAATTAACTTAAACTAAATGTCAGTAAAACAAACTGTATGATTTTGACATCATCTTATAAGTATGATCAAATTGTTTGGTCAAATGCTGTTATAAAAATTTGATGTTAACTTTGAAATTGTGACTGAAATAAAATATTTGGGTTTCATGATGATAAAAATTCAAAACTAATTAGTCATGCTGATTTTATTTGTAAAAAAATATCTAAATAACTTTTCTTTTTCTCTCTCATATATGTTAAAACGTGTCTGTGTATGCTAGGTTGACTGTTTTTGAAAGCCTAATACAACCTCATTTTGATTATTCTACAACCTCACTTTTTCTACTTGGTAAAAATGAAATAACGCAATTGCAAAATCTTGAAAATCAGGGTATGCCCTTAATATTAGGATGTAGCAGTTACACAGCAATTGAATTAATGTTACAGTGTCTAAACTCGTTTTCAGTTGAAGAATGTATATTATATATGACTATGATCTAAAACTAACACCAAGTATGGAATGAATAGTATATTTCATAAAGGCTTAAACGAATTTGATAAACTATACCACAATTTGTGAAAGAGTCTAATTCAATAAATCAATTTAAGAAATCATTAAAGAAGTATATTAGTGACAGCTTATTATATTTGGTATTTTTTTAATGTGATCTAACCTATCAATCTATAGATTGATAGGTTATAACATGTATGTATATTTTGTTTGTATGTATATTTTGTACTTTCAAATATATGTTCAAAATATGTTTTTTTCATATAATCAGCAGTTGCACCCCTTCGAACGACAACCCTTAGAAGTCGAAACTTGTCCAAGCCAAGGACTAAGGAGGTCTCACTTTTTAACGTGTGATTCCTAACTCGAAATGTTCATTATATTTACACAGTTTGATTAAATTGTAAGATATTTATAAATTTGAATTTTTTTTATTGTAGGCTTGTATACTAAATAAATAAATAAATATGTTTTCCCAAAATGCTCCATGAAATTGTTACTCAGAATCGGTGACAAGGATGAGCCAGCCCATTGCTATCCCAAATTCTTGTTGATGAAAATCCTCTTTGAACTGGGAAAAAAAAATTATTGGTACATAATTTCATAACCTCCAAGATATCTTCCATGTTTAGTTTTGTTCTATTTTTTATTATACTATCATTTTCTAATTAATTTCTTACAATTCTTAGGGTTTTATAAACTGAAACATTAGTGAACGAACTCACAATATCAGAACTCACCAGGAGATCTCCGCTTCGAATTTGTAATTTATAAGTTTTGCAGTGAAATAAAAAGTATTCCTTATGAAACTTAAATTTCCATGCCCATTTCCGAATAAAGGTTTCAAAATTTAGAGAAGATATTTCGACAAGTTTTTGACAATGAGATCTGACTGAATAGACAATTGGTCTCGGAAGGACAATTTTGTTTGTTTATTATTGGTAACCTACAAAAATGTGGAAGTTTACTTTAGTGGGAAATGAGTCGAGTACGTTCTTTTTTTGTGAGAATGTTTTTGTCTGGCTACAGTTTTATATATCTTTTGTTCCACCGATTTTGTTGGACTGAGGATACACTACAAAAACACACTTTTGTCTATTTTCCACGATATTTCTTTATTGTTGACTAGTTTTGGCTATTACAACATTTTCAAAACTAACATTCAGGTCAGTGATACATAGGGCTTTCACAATACCCCTTTCTGATCAAAACCTCCAAAGTGAAATCGCAATCATTAAACAAATAGCAGTTAATAACAAAATACCTACCACTCTAGTTAACAACATTATAATGAAATATCAACAAAAATGAATAATGAAAGAACTATATTCAATTTCCACAAGACCAGAACACAAATATGTTAGTATCAATTATGCAGGTACAAACTCCGAGAATATTAAAAATTATCTCTCAAAATTCAATCTACAAACATTCTAGACATCCAACGGAAATTTAGGAAACATATTATTTAATGCCAAACCTAAATTAGACAAAGGGAAGAGATCTGGTATATATCGACTAGAATGTGGGGAATGCCCCGCAATATATACAGGCCAAACTGGTAGAAATTTTAATACAAGGTACCATGAACATGTCATTTCGGATAAAAAATCATTAATGCACGAACATTTTCAAAATTCGAAACATGAAATAGATAAAGATAATTTAAAGATCCTTCACACATGCGAAAAAGGGAAAATGATGAATCTGTTGGAATCTATGGAAATAAACAGGTCAAAGAAAAATTCCAATTCTATTATCCTCAAGGAACAATGTAATAAATTGAATTGAAATTTGTTTTTTTTTCCAGAATTTCTGCACAAGAAATGATGAGATTGTGGGCCTATAATACAGAATGAATCATCAACATGTAGATACACATCTGGATGATGTAGGCGGTGGTATAACAAGAATGCAGATTAATTTGAAATGTAATTTCTATTTTCATTGATGTAAATATTTTGTATCGATCTTAGTGTGACATATTTTCTCATGTAAATGATTGATTGAATTAAAAGTACATGCATTTGTTTGGAAGTCAGTACATCCTACGAAGAAGGATATTGGTCAAGTATTGGATCAGCATTCGATTTATAATATTCCTCTGAAGACCAATATTGTCACAGTTAATACATGGCTAATATCCTCTATTGTGGGAGTTGTTAGAAGGATTCTTATGTGTGCAATCTGATTCTGTACTAAGAAGGAAATTATTCATGAAGGATAATTTGTCATTGTTTTACCTGTTTGTACAACTAATTAGTTATTATTCAAAATTTTGAAATGCAAAATTCATCCATTACACTTGAGCGTTTTCATGAGTTTTCAAAGCCGGAAGTTTCCTTTACATCATTTTAAATATGGCCTTGGATATATGTACTTCAATATTGTTGAAAAAATTATATCATATATCAATGAGTGCGTTAGTAAGTATTTCTGAAATTTCAGTTTCTTTTTCAAATTACCTATAGGTGATGAATAAAAAGACATCCAATTGAATGAAAAGTGTACATAGTAGTTGTTCTACTTTCTTCAATAGGGTGTATTGCCTCCCCTAGCCCTTCTGCATTCTTTCACTCTTCCACCTATGCTGTCGATAAGGTTATTGATAACATGGTTCCACCCTTCCAAAATAGCATTTCGAAGCTGTTCTAAACTGTCAACCTTTTCGAAATATAACTTCAAACATGTTCTATCGGATTCCTATCTGATGTTCGGTGGCCAATCCATCCTTTCAATTCTATCTTCCTCCAGAACGTTTTGCACAGCCAGTGTTCGATTTAGTGGGACATTATCATCTATAAATACACCATAAAGTTGATGAGGCATGAGTTGAATATTGACTTGAATTAGATTGAGGATTGCAGTACGTAGAAGATTGCTGTGTGGTTGTCGATGGTGCAGTTGAGAATTGCACAAGGGAAACCATTTCTTCATCTTCGTCTGTAATTTCCAGAATAAGTTTCTGAATTCCCATTTTCAATTTTCTTTTCTAAAACTCGTAACATAGTCTCCTCTTAAGTTCGTCGGCAACAAATGTACCGAAATCATCATTCCCATCATTCGAAAGTGCATTTTGAGCTTCCTTAGGTAATTCTTTCCGAGTGTATCTGAAAATCGCAAGATACATGATTTTCTTTCAGAAAAATAGCTGTGAAATGTATTGCTCTTATTTTATATTTGTTATGAAATATAACACTCGATCTTATGAAATAAAAATATGTTGGGTCATACTGAAATACACTTTTTTGAATGTGTCTGAAACTCGTAAAATACATAATTCTCTTTCAGAAAAATAGATGTGAAATGTATTGCTGTTATTTTATATCATTTATGAAATATAACACTCTCATACTTGAATACAATTTCTTGAGTGTATCTGAAAATTGCAAGGTAATGATTCTCTTTCAGAAAAAAAGATGTGAAATGTATTGCCGGTATATATTTGTTATGAAATATAACACTCGATCTTATAAAATGCAATGTGGTGGTCATACTGAAATACAATTCTTGGAATGTGTCTAAAAATCGCAAGATACATGATTCTCTTTCAGAAGAACATATGTGAAATGTATTGCTGTTATTTTATATCATTTATGAAATATAACACTCGATCTTAATTTGTTGAAAACTCAATATACATATATATAATATAAGGATACTATATCTTGAAAACAAGAGCTAATATATAATTTTTATGGTCACTTTCGGTTTTAACACGTGGAAATACATTAAAATCATCTAATTTCAACCCCGAAACAAAAACTTTGTTGTGTTGTGATAATTTATTCCTGTATTGTTTTACATGTAGATAGCCGTTCCTCCATGAATTCTTGACTTTCTGCAAAAAGATGTCATCAACGTATAATTAGGAATAACTGCCATGTTAATGTTCAAGTCATTTATTCAGTGTTCACTTAAGCACAGTAAGTCAATATTTGTCTGAATTAATAGACTTTCAATTTGATTTATTTTTGATGCCATGGATAAATATGTAATATTTTCAGTACTTTCATAGATTCTACGTCCATTTCAGTTCTAAAAAATCAGAATGATTTATTGTTTCGTTCATCTCTGTAAAAAGTGACTTATCTATATTTTCTGTTCTTAATTCATGAGGAATAAACTCAGGCTGAGATAAGTGATCGTCTTGAGTTCCGTTGTTATTTGTTTGTTTTCAAAATTCTCTGAAATCTTATCTTCTGCAGCTGGCATTATTTTCTCATTCATGAATGTCATGAGAGCTTTGCTTACCAACACTATTCCTGAGTTTTTCAGTATCTCACTATATCTATGAAAATGAAACCATTTCAGATAGCTGTTGCATTCAAAAAGTTTCACTGAACTAGTGAGATGACGTAGCTTCTTGGATAACATAAGGTTATTTTCATAAATAACGTCTTTTTGCTCCATCTGTTGTAGGTGTACGGCTTTGTAATTATGACGGAATTTGTGTGACTTGTACTTTCGATAAATGATAGTAATTTTCCAGTATTTATTTTTTCTTTCGACCATATAATCAACACGTCATCTTTGGTCAGCTTTTCTGCACATGATACCGAAGTTTTCAAAATTGTGTCTTGATCAGCATTAGATTTTATGAAAGATTCCACTGCGAAGTGAGATGTTAGATTTTGGAGATAGCCTGCCATATTTCTACCATAATAGTTTGAACAAAAAATTATTTTTTCATTTGAACTAGCAAATAGAGTCGCTGCGCACGCCTAAGTTCGCTGCGCATGCCTAAGTTCGCTGCGCACGCCTAAGTTCGTTGATTCTGATTCTGTCAGAACATTGGAACAGCAGCGATACAGCGATATAGTACTAATTATTACTTCTAATATACATATAAAAATGGATGTTTGTTTGTTGGTTGGTTGGTTGTTTGGTAAGTGATAAACTTCTACATCGCTCAACCGATCGTGATGAAACGTGACATGTATAAGTAATTTTTCATAGAGAAGGTTATTACGCTATCAATTTTTCTGTAACTCGCCACTAGATCGTGGCGTAGAATTTTTTTTTGAAAGCACTGTTCTATAACGCTGCGCACGCCTAAGTTCTGATTCTGTTAAAACATTGGAACAGCAGCGATACAGCAACATAGTACTAGTGCAATTAAAGCCAACACGTTTTTGATACCTTTATTATTTCAGCTAGATCACACAACTTGACCTTTCGATCATTTCTTATGTTTTCTGGTTTTACTGTCTCATTTAGACGTCCACTTTCCAGTTCTTCATTGTTGCCAGGAGTCAGGACCACTGTTTCTCGCAGAGCTCCTCTCAAGAGTCGATTTTAGAAAGCTACATCCGTCCTCTTCGGGTCATGGAATTTTACAGTGATCCGGATATCTTGGTTTACCGTATAGGTCAGCCAGCGATGGTCTGGCATTGAAATATGGTCCGAGACTTGTCAGTTGGATTTTGTTTGATATTTTGGCTGTCGTAAGCGTGATATCTATTAATGTTTGGCTACGGGCATTAATAAATGTTGGCTCCGTGCCTCTGTTCAAGATTGTTAGATCTTTCTGTATTATATATTCATATAGGGACTTACTTGCTACCGTCAGGTCAGGGTTCTGCGCCTTCAGCCGACCCAGCACCCTCTTATTTTCACCAGATTTCGTCTTGTGGACGTCCTCCGGGATCCAGAGTGAGGCTTTGGTTGTGACACTGACGACCGCCGGTGATGCTTCCTCCCACGGCTTAATATTCATTGTGGCTTTCTTCAGCCACTCTAGCGTCACGTCGTCGTCGCAGATCACTCTGATGATCTCACCAGAGTATGTCCACGACTTAAACGTGGGCGGTTTGCTGTTGTTGCTGGAGGCGGAGAAGATGATCTTGTCCAGCTCCTCCAATAGTTGTTTTTTGATGAGCCTCTCTCGTTCTGCGGTAACCATACCGTATGGGTTTGTCTCATCTATGATGGCTACCTTGAGGTATCTCAAGACGGCCTCAATGAAGGTTTTGGAAGATGCAACCTTCAATCTTTTTGGGGTTCCCTCCGTGGAGGTACTCGCGTGAGGGCGCTTTCCTGCAGTGGAAGCCGGTTCCTTGCCTTTTTTTAAGGCGGAGCTCTTGGCGCCCACCGCAAGAGGTGCCCTTGTTGTTGGAGATGGAGTGGGAGTGCACTCATAGTTGCTGCCACTTCGGCCTCTTTCTCTCCTCTTGGCCTCGGCGCCGCTAATATGCTTACGCCTTGGCCTTTGTGTTACATCTTGAGGTGGTCTGCTATGTCCAGCCTCATTCTGAGCGGTAACTTGAGGTGACATTCCTGTTCATCCCCAGCCCTTGCCCTAAATTAAGGTGAGCATTGCTGTCTAGCCTTGGGATTGGTTGTTTTTTTGTCTGTTTGTTTGTCCGTAGCCATGTATGTTCCCACGAGTAGCAAGGGAAGGGTTGGTCATCTCTAGCAGAGCCCCGCAATACCAGAGGAAGGCTGATTACAATGAGGTTTCGCCCGGTTCCTCAAGGGGATTGTTCGTAACCGTGTATCACCCTGCGGCCATTCAGCTGTCGGCACGATTTCTTACACCTTAATTTGAAGTATATTCACTACATTTTCTTTTGAATGAATTCAATGAATCATAGCTTTTTATATGACTATACAACCAGAACTATACAACGAGTCACAACCTATATGTTCTCTTTTGATATAAAAATTTCCTATTCTATTTCTAGTGGAGTGAGTATGAATACTACTTGTTTAGGTTAACTGATCACTCAGATAATTTGGCAACATATTGTGTTTAATTGCAAATATAATTATTAGCATATCCAGTGTTATCCTTTGTTTAGCAGACATAAGAGACAGTGTTTCCAACATGTATTCCACAGATGTGCGTTTATTACAACTCAATATTGCCCTCATGGATTTGTTTTGAAGCTTCTATAGTCTGTTTAGATTCTCATTGTTCATAAAATAGAGTAATGTACTGCAAAAGTCAAAGTGGGGTGCCATTATTGATTTACAAATTGTTAATTTTGCATATTCACTTATTTTATGTTTCAATCTATATAAAAGGTGAATTTTCGTGGCTATTTCGTGGTTTAATTCTTGATCTAATACCACTCCCAGATATTTAAAAGTTGTTACCCTTTCAATGATGACATTATAAAGATTCAATGACAGCTGTTCATCTTGCAACGATATTTGCTACCTATCAACATGCATTTTGTTTTATTTACATTCAACTCGAGGCCGTTGTCACATAACCACTCGTTTATATTTGATAGTTTCTCATTCAAGCATTCTGAGATTTCATTAGTTGTCCCAAAACAGTACAACATAGTGTCGTCGGCAAACAGATTTATCTTACACCTTTTAACACGTATCACAATATCATTTATGTACGGCAAGAATAGCAGTGGACCCAATGCTGACCCTTGAGGGCCTCCTGAAATCACATTTAAAGTACTGGATGTCACTTGATTATATTTAACTAACTGAGTCCGATATGTGAGGTAATTTGCGAACCATTATAATACTTTATAATCTAGTCCATACTTATTTAATTTCATTAAAAGTAACTCAATGTTGACCGTCTCAAATGCCCTTTTGAAATCAAGAAAGACAACACCTATGATACGTTTTTTAGATAGCTCAACTTTCCACGCAGAGATTAGAAATTGCAGTGCAGTTTCACATGAATGAGATTCTCTAAATCCAGATTGTTCTTTAATCAAAATATTATGAGAAAAAAAGTTTTTGGCTTTCTACTACTCCATCTTGATACAAAAAAAGAAGGATGAGGGAATCTTCCAAAGAAAGGAAGGAAGTAACTCTATACATGGATGTGTAGATCATGCAAAGAAGTAACTTTCAGACACAAACTGAAAAAAAGTACTCCTGAAACAGCTACTTTCATATAAACATTGAATTATACGAAAGAAAAAAATACTTTCGAAACAAATACTTCTGTATGAACACTGAATTATACAGAAGATACTTTTCTCTACTCGGTTTGTATTTCAAACATTCGTTGTGAAATAAAATCAGATATCATTCACATGAGTTCTACTTTGAATGAATGGTAACAAATTGCACTTACATAGAACACAGTCATCCTCACTGGTATACACCGATGTTTCGCCTTAAGACACTTGCCCTAAGGCTCTTCAGTACCAAATTGGATAACATTATAGAAAATACACACACTTCATTCATTAATTACGATTTTTATTGTCACGGAATAAACTTCATCTGCTTATGTCATCGATGACATCGTAATGACATTCATTCACCTATTTGATTTAATTCCAGCCAAGAGGGATCTTATTTGAATTAAGGGGGTTATATTTTTTAGGAGTGATTAATTTTTGGGAAAGAAAGTTTTTGGCTTTCTACTACTCCATCTTGATACAAAAAAAAGGATGAGGGAATCTTCCAAAGAAAGGAAGGAAGTAACTCTATACATGAATGTGTAGATCATGCAAAGAAGTAACTTTCAGACACGAACTGAAGGACTTTCTTTTCTAAAAATTAATCACTCCTAAAAAATATAACCCCTTTATTTCAAAATATTATGTTTTGCTATAAATTTCATCAATTGCTCTTTCACTGCGATTTCTAATATTGTCTCATAAATTGGCGAGGTATTTATCCTAAAAGGGTGTTTGTATTTTTTTTAATAGAAACGATGGTGGCAATTTTCCAACCGTCAAGAAATGTTTCAGTGGTAAACGATAAATTTATCAAGTCCAAAAACCTATTTCCCGGTGTTTCAAATGTTAACTTGATTATATTCAGAATAATTCCATTGTTTGTCATCTTGTCATTTTCCTTGAGGGAAAAATTATCTTTTTTAACTCGCACATTTAATGTTTCAAATTCCCCAAGTATCTCATTTGTTGGTATAATATATTGCTACTATACTTTCGGTTAGATCTTTCAAACTGTCAACAAAAAATTAATTAAAAAATATCCTGCTACTTTTGCTTCATTTGTTACAAGAACACTATCAAATTGTATACATTTGAACTCTTGTTTTTCCTTTACTAAATCTTTCAGTGCTATCCACATAGTCCTACTGTTTCCTTTTTTTCGTCGATCTTTGATTCATAATACTTTTAAGTTTCAATTCGTGTCTTTTTGGTAACGAAATTACGACTTGATTTATATTTATCCCAGTCGCAATGCAGTTTGGTTTCCTTGGCTTTTTTATGAAGAAAATCGCGTTTTTTCAGATCTGCCATGATTTCGTCTGTGAACCACACTTTCAATTTGAAGTTATTGAAATTATGCTTCCTTTTGAATGGTGCATGTATGTCCAAGCATCTAATAATATTATTGATGAATGAATTGGATATTTCATTAATGTCAGTAGTATCATTACTCCATAACGTATTCATTAGGGACAGTTGATGAATAAAGCCAACTTTGAACAACAAAAAAACGCGTTTTCTTCCTTAGACCCGGGACAACTCATGTGTTAGTTTCATCGATTTGTAGTGGGTTTGCAAACTTTTACTTGTACGGTTCTTTGAGTACATTCCTCGAGTTTCTATCCGACATTGAAATCTTCAAATTAGTAAATGGTATATAGCAGAGGCACCTATCGTTAATTCTACCAGTCGCCGGCAAGGATTGAATCAGAGGTGAAAGTGTCTTAGATCGTCGTTGGAGCAGGCGCTGTGCTGAAAGTATAACTTATAAGTAAATCGAAAGTTCACTATCACTTCTTAGCTGGATATCGAGTTTTCAGCATGGCCGACAAGAGGCTGTGGTTTTTCTGTTTTTTGCTTCTAGGCGCAGGTGAGTTACCATTTCTGTTTATATTCATTTTTTTGTAGTGTAACGTAACATGTAGGTCAACTAGCACTATTGCTTCGGCTTGTTAACAGATGCCCGTAATATTTTGTTCCTTATGGTAGGATTTTTTGACGGTGCGCGATTATCAGAAGCTGAATTAAAGATTTGATGGGAATCGCTACACGTATTCTATAGAATTTTCATTTTACGAAATTATATTTTGGAAATAACTGCCGTTAGGAGGTATTTTTTTCATTTTATTCCAATACATTATGAGTAGAGGAATTCATTTAGGATTTTTTTCGTTTTCATATATAAAATGTCATCATCATTAACCCCAATTCACGTTGGACAATAATCTTTCACACAATTTCGTTTTTTCGTGTTCTATGGCAATTAAATTGTATATACCTGGTTACAAAATAATAAATTCGACTATTTTCTTTAACTTATAAACGTATCGCAGATTTTTATTAAAATTTGGAAGATCCCCACATTTTTTTGCATCAAGATGGAGTGGTAGAAAGCCAAAAACTTTCTTTTCCGAAAATTAATCACTCCTAAAAATATAACCCTTTCAATTCAAACGATTATATTGATTTGAATCCTTTTCTTTCGTGAAACAGTATACGCAGATGTGCTTTTTTATCTGAAATGTATCAGAGATATAGTTCCAACTAGTCGTATTCAAAATTTAGATTCTTGAAGTTTTAAAATGTTTCAGTAAAACAGCCAGTATTTCAATTGAAGATGCACACCGCTATGACTTCAGAATTCTGTGGAGGGAATTCTTCATAAAATTATTTTAAATGTTCATAAAATGTTCTTCTGTCTGAAATTGTCCACAAATTAATTTTTCTTCATTACTGTTGGATTGTTTGATGCGTACTGCAAAATAATCTACTCTAGTACAATTCCAGAATAGCAGGCACTGAATTCTCAGAATCATTATTGCGTTAAAACGGAAAAAATGTCAAGGTTATGATTCTATATATTTTATCATCATTTTTCCTCTGTTCAGTATAATTTCTGTACGCCACTGCAGGAGACAGATTAAGGCAAAAATAATATACTTCCAACTTCTATTGATTTTGTTGCGTTTAAAATATTCTCACTCTTATGAATGTTCTGTGCCTAACCATGAAACCGGTACTTGGAATAACAACGGATACAAATAATATTAATTCTGTTTGTGGCCAGAAAAACTCTCTCTTGTAGTTACAAGGCCGTGAGTTTTTTGGACTGATTGCGTAAACAAAGTATCGAATCTTTCTTAAATGTCATTGGTTAATTCGATTGTTATATTCCAGTGGATTAATTTGAGATGAGTTTGACCTTTCGTTCATTAGATATATGCGGATTTACTGAGAAATCGCTGTTGAAACATCTGAAGGCTTGCCAAGGTTATTGTAAGGCGAGGCTGTATGCAATATGCACAAAGAACTGTTCACTGGGAGAACTTAACGCAATTCTCATTTTTCCTTTTGACACCTAACGCGAAACAAGTTTTGAATTCTAATGAATTCAAACTATTTCTACTGAGAAGGGGGGTGGAATATTTGCATGTACTGGGCGATCAATAGTGCTTTTCAATTGTTTTTTCGAACCTAATTGTTAGGTACACCTGAAATGGAGTATATTATTCATCAACTCAATCCTAACAAGGCATGTGGAAATGTTGGTAAAATTTGTGAAAGCAGTAAAAGTGAAGCATTTTCCTTTTTATATTGTTATTTTCAATCAATCAATCAATCAATCAATTTTATTGGTAATAATACACATCGTGCTTTTACAAGTCAAGAATACAATTCAAGAATACAATTTACAAGAATACATACAATTATGAAATTACAGTTTAAAAAATAAAATGAGTGAAATAACTTTTTTTTTTCTCCATTGAGTTGAATACAATTTAAACAATCATATTAGGTCATCGAAGTTATTATCCAAGAATTCCTGAATTGAATAAAAGGCTTTCTTCACCAAATAATCTTTGATTTTTTTGAAAAATAATCTCTCCTCAAGGAGTCTTATGGTCACTGGCAAGCAATTAAAGAAATGTATACCATAGTAGTCGGTTCCTTTTCTGGTTCTATGCAGTCTGTGATATTCAGGAATAAAGTCCTGGTTACGCCGTGTTTCATAATTATGGAGTTGGCTGTGTGTTAAATATTTTTGTTTATTATTATAGACATATTTAATGCAGTTCAGTATATATGCACAAGGAAATGTTAGCGTTTTAAGCTCAGCAAAACAATGTCTGCAGCACTGGCGATATTTGAGATTCATAATAATTCGGATGCATCTCCTCTGTAGCCTAAAAATTTTTTCCGAATGGGAAGAGTGACCCCAACTCAGCACAGCATATGTCATGTTTGAATAAAAGTAACCATAATAAGTTGACATTATAGTTTCTCTAGATACAGTTTTAACAAGTGATCTTATCATATATGTAATTTTTGAGAGCTTAGACGATAGTTGAATAATGTTTTTTTCCCACATTAGACCTTTATCAATAATTATTCCAAAAAGATTAACCTCTTCACTTCTTGGCAGATCTGAATACAGAGGTCTGAGGGTGAAATTGATATTTTCGGTCTTGTTTTGGTTAAGAGAAAGTTTGTTTGCTAAGAACCATTCTTTTATCTGATTCTGTCCCTCAGCCACAATTTCTTGAATTGGTTCTAACGGGTGATATACTTGCAGATAAGTGGTGTCATCCGCAAATAGTATGAGTTTTGAGCCAGCTACATTGACTTTTAAGTCACTTATATAGATCAAGAAGAGTAGAGGCCCCAAAACTGAGCCCTGTGGGACTCGATGATGCAATTGCGTAATATCTGAAGAGACACCATCATATATAACATACTGAGAACGTCCTGTTAGGTAGGACCTGAGAAAGGCTATACTATCAGAATGAAAGTTGTAAAACTTTAGTTTTTTATTCAATATATCAGTTGAGACACAATCAAAAGCCTTTGTCAGGTCAAATAGAGAAGCATATCATCAATGGCAGCCACAGTAATTCTATTGGACCTAAACCCATATTGATTATCCACGAACAAACCATTAACCTCAAAATAGTTTATAATTTGATCCCTCATTAGCGACTCTAGTAGCTTTGAAAATATCGGTAGAAGTGAAATAGGTCTATAGTTATTTCTGTCATGAATAGAACCTTTTTTTTTTATAAACAGGAATCACTTTTGCAATTTTTAAGGAGGATGGAAATATACTTTCTGTTATACAGAGAATAAAAAGTTGGGTGAATGGATAAACAATAAGATTTTTTAAGGTTTTTATAATACAAGTGGTGAATTCATAATTATCTTTGCTGTTTTTGTTTTTCAAACAACTTATTTTATCTCTCACTTGGATAAAAGTTACCTCTTTAAATTTAAAGGATATATTTTGCTGAGTATGTTGCATGTAGTCCTCAAAAGTTCTCCCCGCAGGATCTAGATCATTAATTACATTTTGTGCAATGTTTACAAAGAAATTGTTGAAGATATATGAGTTTAGCTCATCAGACTTTGCTGATTTTTTTCTCACAAATTATTTTGAGTTTATTATAGACCACATTGCTGCTTGCTTGTTGGTAGATTTCTTGACAAAGTTATCAAAATATTGCATTTTAGCTTTTGAAATTTCAAGTCTATATTTTTTTCGATATTCAGATACTATTTGTCTTGGAATCAAATTAGGATCTAGATTGTGCATTATATTAATTATCTGGAGTCGTTCTCTCATTTTCCTTAAGTTTTTACTGAACCAATTCATTTGAATTGGGATGAAATTTTTTACATTTGTTCTTGTTTTCTGGGGAAAACAATGTTCAAAGGCTTCACCGATAACACCGATGAATCTTCTGAACTTGTTTTCTACTTCGTCATTGCCGTTCACAAATGACCAGTCGAATCCCTCAATAAGATTATATAAGCATAACAAACCTTCATCTGTTATTGGTCGGTATGTCACCTTCGTACTCCCCTTTTTTTTTGTAAGCGGCATTCAAAATTACTCCTAAATGATCAGACAATCCCAGGAGATCACAAGGTGCCACATTATATGAGTTCTGATCAATATTCATAAATATATTATCTAAACATGCACTATTTCGCGTACTGAACANTACTAGTATTGTGTATTATCTATAATTTGCCACAACCTACAACTCTACTGCTTACTATATTTTGATTCTGCTATAAACTGGTAACGTAAAATTTAGATATGACAACGCGCTTTAATCTCAATCATTATTGGTTTTACTATAGCGAGAGTTTACTGCATCAGGATTTAATTTGCTAAACTTGGAATAACATTATTTTGAAGTAGTGCCAAATAATTATCGTCATTCAAGTTGCCCTCAATGAAAAATGACAAAGTACACTCATCGGAAAACATAACTTCTAATTGGAAGATATTGTTATCCAATATGCCCGTCGTTTGCTCACAAAAATAAGTTTTTCCATCAAAATCGTCTTCCATGAGCTCTTGAGTAGGTATCATTTCATAGGGATGCGTTTTATTTTCTTTTAATATGTTCACTATCGATGCATAGCTAACATTGAATGTGTGGATGCCTGTCTACTCGATGTATGTGGGTTTTCCTCAAACTCGAGCATCACATCTGATTTGAGTTCATGACTCATTGCATAAGCAGCTGCTTTTTTTATCTGCCCCACATGACCAAGCTTGCGAAACTGCTTCTCTATCTTTCATATTGTTCCTTGAAGTATGGACGGAAAATTAGGAAATTTCCCATGAAATAGACGAGTTACTTCCTGTTGTGTTCAGATTTTATCTCCGTAACCAGTCGTTTGTAAAACTGTTATTTCATGCATTTCCGTGAATCTAACCATTTGTCAGACTTGAAGTTAACGAACTTTGAACCAACGAGATTTTGTTAAAATATGTACAGTAACCGAAATAATGGATGTATTCCATTTGGCTTTCACACACTGTATTGAAACATGAAATATTTCATACTGGGTATTAATACTCCTTCTTTACAGTTTTTGCCCAAGACGAAGGCGACGAAGACGAAAATGATTCATCCGCTGAAGAACTTTGTGAAAACAGACCTGCTGATGAATATTTCCGCCTCACAACAGATGGAGACTGCAGAGAAGTGGTCAGGTAATTGAAAAATCTCAATCATTTCTATTGATATTTATATTTATTCTGATGGAGAATATGTTCACATTCGAAGAAGAATGAAAAATTCATATAGGTATCATTATTTCATAGTGTATCATTTTGAAATGATAATCTCCACAAATACAATGTTGGTAACGGATAAAATCCTTGAATATTCAGAATAAATTCATCGGCTCGAACAAAAAAGTTGTTTCCAGTCAGACGACCTTTATCAAATATATCGGCAATTTATATGCAGGTCTTGAACAGGAAATTTAACGGTGTCCCACCCATCCGGAAATCATTTATTTCCTCAATCAAATCACATTCATTTCACATATATTTATTTTTTTATGAACTGTTCATAACGAATCGTAATCATAGCCCAATTTTCAAATAGGTACGTTGTCGAAAAATCGAGAAAGGATCAAATCATTTTGAAATACTTCAAAATAAAGTATTCATGCATTGATTTCATTATCCCAAATTTCAATTGTTTGAGTTGACGTTCAAAAAATAAAAGGAGGGGTGCATTAAAGAAATGCACTGTATAATCTCAGCTCCAAAATCTCAAACGAGTTCAGACGTAGAGATAAACGTGTTTGGGCATGTGAAAATAATTTCTGTTGCGGGTATTATATTCATGAAAATATTGGTTTTGTCTAAAAACTTCTTTATTTTCAAGGATGTACATTAAACCTTTCAGAATGTAGATTTGTTGAGTTGTCTAGAATTCTCAAGTTTCTTGACGGATAATACTGCTTATTGAGTACTTTAAGGAGATAATCGCAGTGCTGACGGAAATTGAATTTGCCGTCTAGAAAAACACTAAAAATTTTATACTGTCAACACTTTCTATCTCAACGCCGGATATTTCAATATCACTGTCTACCATGTTGAAATTTTGGGCAGTATAAAAAGCTACTGCTTCCATTTTGGAGGCATTCAAAAATAATGAGTTCTCACTGAACCTATTTTGCAAACTATCAAGACCAGAATTTATATTTTGTTTCAATTCAGGCAAATATTTTGATTCAAATAGGAAAGAAGAATCACCAGCTTACAAACAAGTGGGTGACTTTTGCAAAACAGATGGCAACTCATTGATATAGAGAATAAAAAGAATTGGCCCTGAAACTGATCCTTGGGGAACGCCTATGTCATTATTCAACTGATCGGAAGAAAGTTGCCAAGAAAACAATTGTTCTTTTGGGATAATTTGATCCTGTTAGCAAATGAACCTTTTTAAGAATGTATATTGTCTCTATTTACCACTTAAAAAATTCTCCTAGGGTGTGTTTGTACACATTGTTCAGTAGGAATTCATCACAATTTTTTTATTGAATCTTTGAATCCCATGAAAAATTGGTCTGATTCTTAGAATAGTTTTCTATAGTGTGTAGTTTCTATACAGCGTGACTCACGGTCGATGGTAGGTTGGACGTTTCTGGAAAACGCAAAGCACTATTTTTCTGAAAATTTCACACCTCACATTTCCTCATCGACCGTGAGTCACGCTGTATACTATATATAGCAGACAATGACAGGTACTTATGCAGTGTACTTTCTCAACTTTTCAATATGACAACTCCTTTTTCATCCTGTATTAATAATGGTTGTTTCAAACGTTTTCTACGTTTTATAAGTCCTCTTCAAACTGTAATATCTCATTCATTTGAATCGAAATAAGCGACATTTGAATCAGTGAACTTTTGCCAACGTAACACAATTCGATCAATTCCGCCAGCATAAAAATTATGTGCTCGGGATTCGATGAAGTCGACGAAGTCCCTTTTGGCCTGGTCCAAATTGGCGAAAGTTCTACCGGTGAGAAATTCGTCGAGTGCTTGAAAAGATGTTAGTCAATTGGCGAGAGTATGGTGGGTGAGGCAGTGCGAACGACAACATGACAACACCAGTGCGGACGGGTGTTGTCGTAAAGAGCAGGATCGAGCCTGTTCTGTTGACCAGCGCCGGCTGCTGCTGGCGCAATTTTTGGTACATTTCGTCGATTCCTCCACAATAGGACTCTATAGTGAATCAAATCAGCTGCTGGTCACCATACAGTAACCATCGTTTCCATTTGTGGGTGTTTACCTTCGGCAGGTGCCTGGGTGGCTTATTGGCGTCAAAACACTGTTCTGAACTCCTCTTTTTGTCATAGAGGGCCCACTTTTCATCACACGCGTCGATCCAATCCAAAAAAAGATCCTTTTGGTTGCGTAAAAGCAAAGAAGGACAAGCCTCGAAACGTGACAATTTCTATAGATCGTTGAAATCGTGTTGCACTTACTTTTCGAGCTTATCAATCTTCCCAATACGTTTTGAACCATAAAAAATCGCATTCGACCCAGTTCTTTCGCCATCCCACGCACCGTTTGTGATGGGTCAGTCTCCACCAGGGTCATGAAATCCTCGTCCTGGATCACTGTAGGTCGACCACTTCGAAGGCTTATCTTTGAGGCTAAAATCTTCAGATAGAGGTTTCGCGAATCAACTTCGAATAGTGCTTTCATTAACACTATTAATGCCAAATGCTAGGATGATTTTTTGTGTTGTTTTGGCAACGCTTTGGTTAAATCATAGTAAAATGCTTAAAAGATGCAAAATGTAGAAAGTAAAATATCAATGTATAGAGTACAAAATCCTTTATCGATCAGTATACCGGGTGATTCTCTAAGGTGGCTCAACCCTATAACTTTTTTATTTTTGGAGATAGAAAAACCAAATTTGGGGGTTGTGTATTATAGTTCAATTTACATTTTTGACATATTTACTTGCTTTGCTGTACTTCCGGTTTGACCAGAAATGACCCCAACTTTCGATTTTTGAATAGGATATCCTATATATTTTTACTTAATTCGGTGTACATCGCTTCATTCTTGGTTAAGAAACATGGGAAAACTACGACTTTGAGACTTATGACTTCACAGTCGTTTTAAGAATTATTTCACAGAAGGAAATATGAATTTTTCCAGTTAACTTGATTTTTTCAAATGGAAAGGAGATGGCTCGTCGGCTTTTTGTGAAAGATCATTTTCTTACGAATAATTTGATGCCACACACTTTCACTTTCATTTCTCTATTTTTCTGAATAATTGCAAGAAACGATCATACCTAATAACAAATAATACGTATTCGGTATACTTATTCACTAAGTATTCTAGTTATCCGTGACAAACAATTGAAGCTTTTGCTAGGTAAACAAAGGCTAATGAATATGCTGTCACTTTTAAAAATTTATTCCTTTGTAGTTTATGATTAGATATGACAAATTATACTGGAAATGAAAAAAATGACATTTTGCTAATTTGCAAAAAAAGAATGCAACTGATGCAGCTCGAATTTATGCTCAGAGGTTTACAAATCGTCGCCATTCCAACTCGGTATTATTTTCCAAAACTGGAAAGAAAAATGCGAAATGAACCAGAAGAAAATGCCAATAACTTCATCGTCAGCGAAGAAAAAGAAGCAGACGTGTTGGCCTATGTGGAAGTGAATTGTACGGCGTCAATTCGCCAAATTGTTTCCGAGTGTGATAAGTCATTCGTCCGTTAGGCGAATTCTTCACAAATATAATGACTTCAATCGTGAATCAATCATTCAAGTACCAACTACACCAACATCTTTACGATAACGATCACAACCGAAGATTGACTTATTGCAACTGGTTTTTGATTGAAAACAGAGAAGATGTACGTTTTATATTCAAAATTGTTTATTCAGATGAAACCCGATTCACCAACTTGGGTATGTTCAATAGGAATAATAAAAGGTACTGGTCTCAAACAACAACAACAAAGAACGATTTTGTTTCAATTGCTGTATTATTCCTTTTTCATATTCTAGATCACCGGATCTTACTCCGATAGATTTTTCTTATCTGGGAAACAATTAAAAATCAGGTTTACAATGCAACATAAATTACTCGTGAAGAACTAGAGCATAAAGTAAGCGTGGCATTCCAGAACATCACTGAGGAACAGCTAATCAATGTGATGCGCGCAAGAATTGAAAAAGTTGAATTTTGTTGTGATCAAGGAGGAGGCCATTTTGAAAATGTATAACCTTGATGGACTAATTCGCGACTTTCTTGCAATTATTCAGAAAAATAGAGAAAACAAAGTGGAAGTGTGTGGCATCAAATTATTCGTAAGAAAATGATCTTTCACAAAAAGCCGGCGAGCCATCCCCTTTCCATTTGAAAAAATCAAGTTAACTGGAAAAATTCATATTTGCGACTGTGGAATAATTCTTAAAACGACTGTGAAGTCATAAGCCTCAAAGTCGTAGTTTTACCATGTTACTTGATTAATAACGAAGCAATTTACACGATCCATGGCATTCTAGATGAAAAAATAAAAATTGGAATAAAAATAATTTTATTTGTCAGTGAAGTATTGTTGAATTCAGAATGTCATTCTCGATCTAAATAACTGAAAATATATCGAGTGGGCCAACGAAAAGTATGCACCTTGCTTTTCTCCTTTTTTTGTAACTTAACGCAAAAATGCTCGGACAGGTCAATTTTGCTTTTGTATTTTTCTACCTGTGCTTTCAACCCCCTAGCGGGGGTGAGTAACAACCCTAAAATTTTAAATGGAAAGTGGGGTCGAGTGATATATCATTTGGAAGGGCACAAAATTCTCTTTCCAATGATACCTAATTTGTTGTATTTACTTGAATAGTTATAAAAAAATCAAGAACATTTACTCGATATTTTTGGTGTTAATGAAAATGCGGAAAATACGGCATTTTTATCACTACTACATTCCTCAATTTCTCTCGTGCGTTTTTTGGTTCAAATAACAACAGCAGATAAGTGTACAAAAAGAATTTAGGCAAACGTTCATTGGTTCAGTTCGGTTGCTTTTGAAATTATTTCAACTTTACTGTAAAAATGGTTTATTCCATTCCTGAATGAGTTGAAATTGTTAAACTTTATCATCAACATAATAGTTGTGCTAGACTTACTGCTCGCCTCTTCAATAACAGTCATCCCGGGAAAAATGTGAATGATTCGTACGTTGCCAAGTTAGTCCAAAAGTTTGTCGATACCGAATCTGTCTGTAATGTGAAACACCAGCCACGGAAACCGATCAGAAATGAAGCAGTGGAAGTCGCTGTTTTACCTGGGAATTCAACTGGTGAGGTCTACCTGAACATGCTTGAAGATACAATTGATCCTCTCATAACAGAAATAATTGAAAATGACCAAAATCATAATGATGATCGGCTTCATTTCCAGCAAGATGGAGCACCTCCTCACTATGTTGCTCCGGTAAGAGAGTTTTTAGATGACCGGTTTCCTGGACGGTGGATTGGAAGGAGAGGCCCCATCGAATGGCTTGTCAGGTCACCTGATTTATCGCCTTTAGACTTTTTCCTTTGTGGACACTTGAAAAATAAATGTTTTGCTACGCAGCCCAAGTCCATAGAAGATCTTCGCCAACGAATTACAGAAGAGTGCAGAAGTATAACACCTGATATGCTACAAAATGTTAGGAATAGATTTGAACAAAATCTGTATTATTGTATGGAAGCAAATGGGTCACATTTTCAGCAATTGCTGAAGTAGGATTCTACTAAGTTAATTACACATTTCAAAGTACTGGGTTGTAGTTGTATTTCTTCTTAATACCTACATGTTTGAGTGAAATACAACAAATTAGGTATCATTGGAAAGATAATTTTGTCATTTCAAATGATATATCACTCGACCCCACTTTCTATTTAAAATTTTAGGGTTGTTACTCACCCTCGCTAGGGGGTTGAAGGCACAGGTAGAAAAATACATCTAAAATGTGTCCTCCTCAAAAGCAAAATTGACCTGTCCGAGCATTTTTGCGTTAATTTACAAAAAAAGGAGAAAAGCAAGGTGCATACTTTTCGTTGGACCACTCTGTATAGGATGTCCCATTTAAAAATCGAAAGTTCAGGGTCATTTCCGGTCAAACCGGAAGTACAGCAAAGCAAGTGAATATGCCAAAAAATGTAAATTGAACTATAATAAACAAATCCCAAATTTCGTTTTTCTACCTCCAATAATAAAAAAGTTATAGGGGTGTGCCACCGTAGAGAAACACCCGGTATACCAAAATACAGTGGAACGAATATTTATTGAGATATGGAGCTACAAAAATACAAGACACTGAAACGGACAAAACTTTTGAAACAACCTGGTATAATGTAGATTCTTGGTATAATTGAATTGAATATTGTCATCATTTCATCGTGGGTTGATCAAGTCACTGACAACTCTCCCGTGTGTACTGAATATTAATAATGAATGTTTTGAATAATTTAGGTGCGATATGAATTCAGATGCCAAAGGCGTCACAAGATTGGCATCAGTAAAATGTCCGACAGGACTAGCATTTGATCTCGATCGTCAGACATGCGATTGGAAAACCAATGTCAAAAATTGCGATCGTTTAGAAAGTAAGTCGATAAAGAAGGAATAGTGATTTTTGTACTCCAAAATTCAACATTAAAATTCAATGTAGTCATCGGAATAGTCCATGATGTATCGATAACAGGTTACAGACAAGTTGTAAGACAACATTTAGATACACAGTTTCACCTTTCTTTAGTTCGCGGAACTACTAATCGAGTAACCTCGATTTCAAAGTCGTTATTAAGCTGAATCGTACAATCGTTGTGAATCTATTGGAAACTTGTTCCATCCGTGGGTTAACCTCACATATATTATGGTGGATTGATCAGTGAAAACGTGTTTTTTTCTAGTAGAATTTCTAGACTCGATATTTTTCATTCTATTCAGAGAAGTTCAATTTGTAACGACAGGTTTCGGTTTACTAGACCATTCTCAAGTGAACTGACGCAGTGTATCGAACAAATCCTTAAATATACATTAATATAGTCAATGACATTTAGGTAGGTGGTAAATTTTCGTTTTGTGGACTCCCGGCGATTTTGAAAAAATTTTTGACTGTACTTACGTATTTTAATGCGTAGATTACGAATCCGAAAGAAAAAAGCGGCCCTCTCCCTTGTTTAAAAAGTTACGGGCCTTCAAAGTTCAGAAAAGGGCAACTTTTCAGCCTTCTTTTCACCAAATAAACTATTTAAAAACACAAGCATTTATTCACTAGGTCATCTTTACACCTTATTCCTCCTTCTTTGATACTTTTCACTTCAATAATCAACATTTTTCTTATAAAAAAACTGAATTTGAAAACGAATGCTTCTCCTGGTGACACTCTTATATTTGTAGGTTAGATACTAGTGACATTTCAGAAAAAAGCGGTTGGTATTTGTCGTCACCTACTATTTTAAATTCGTAGATTACAATTTTCAGTTTGACGTGAGAGAAAAATACAAAATGAATTTGAACGAAATTCATAATTTAGTGAAAGTAAGAAATAATTTAATTCTATATTTGGTTCAAGTAGGAGTGTTTGCAGCAACAATACGTTGTACTAATTGCAATTGCAAAATTTACCTACAACTCAAACTCACTAGGATTATTTTGCGGAATATAAGCTTCTGTCTGTTTATTTCTTAAATCTATCTTACCTTTATAGACTACCAAAAACCAATTTACGAGCTGAAGAATGAAGGCAAAAAACATTTGAATTACTTTATGAATATTGACTGCATCAGTCGTACCAACCATATCATTAACCTTAAAAACATAAAATACAGTGATATGTAACCAAAAAGCAGCTCCGTACATTTTTTAACATTTTTATAAGAAAAATGTTGATTATTGAAGTGAAAAGTGTTAAAGAAGGAGGAATAAGGTGTAAAGGTGACCTAGTGAATAGATGCTTGTGTTTTTAAATAGTTTATTTGGTAAAAAAGAAGGCTGAAAAGTTGCTCTTTTCTGAAATTTGAAGGGTCGTAACTTTGTAAATAAGGGAGAGCGCCGCTTTTTTCTTTCGGATTCGTAATCTACGCATCAAAATACGTAAGTACAATCAAAATCTCCGGGTGTCCACAAAACGAAAATTTACCGCCACATATGCTCTGTTTGCTCTACTCTGTAGGTAGCAGAGTTCCATGTTAGCTTCCTGTCGAGGATAGTACCAAAGTATTTCACCTCTTCAGAGAAGTTTAGTTTGCTTTTGAAGATTTCGGGATAAACTTTTTTTCCTGGTGAAAAAGCCATCTCAGTCTTCTTGGGATTGATCGACAGTGTGATCGACAAATTTGGCGGTCTGCAAGATAACTATGACATCTGCATATGCAATTGTGTAGAGTCCTTTATTGTTGAGGTGATTAATTAGGACATCCAGAACTATGTTCTAAAGAAGGGGTGATAAGACCTTTCCCTGTGGATATCCCCTCATGACAAGTCCTTATTTATGTTGTCCTCATTTATACCATATATGACTCTGCTAGGTACTTGCATCTCAATTGTCTCAAAATTAATTTCACAATATTGCCTCATCCACTAGTCAGGTGAATCTGATAACTAAAAATATTATTCCAACAAGCTATATAGAAAACTATTACGTATTGTTACACCATCGTTATTCATGATATTAGTGTATTGACAAAATGGTTTAGACTTTCAATGACACTGTTAGTATATTGGCTCAATTCTAAGCTCATATAGGCATCTAGATGCCTGTTGTTGTTAACTTGTCTCACTAATCTTAACGAACTAAAGTCTATTGAATGGTTTTGTTGCAAAACACGATGGGCGACTGCTGATTTTTCTTGTTTTACATATTTAAGGTGTGCTAAGTGTTTCTTATATCTCATTTTGATAGATCTTCTAGTCTGTCCATAATATTTTGCATCACATTCAATTCCGAAAGGTCTGGAATTTATGATTTATGTACTATATCATTGTAAATTTGAGGATTTGTGTGTCAGTTCACTTGAGGATGGTTAAATAAACCGAAACAGGTCGTAACAAATCAAAATCTTAGTAGAAATCAGACAAAAATAGGCCATCAATCGAACGAGTTAGATCCGTAGTTATATAGTGTAATAATGAAAAAACTACGTTTTCAAATAGTTTCCGGGGTTAAAAGGTCACTATTCCTTGGTTAAATCCCTATATTAAGCTTATATTTTGACGTACAGGTGTACTAAATCCGGTCTAAAACAAATCACTTGTCCCAGTGGATTGGCGTTTGACATCAATAAACAGACATGTGACTGGAAGGGAAAAGTCACAGATTGCGATAAACTCGAGAGTAAGTCGCTCCTCAACGATAAGAGCTATGGGAGCAGATTTTTAGGGTGATTTCCAAATTCTTCCAGAAATCGATATGCAAGATGATCAGCTTTGAGTATGAATCCCACGTGTTCCTAAATATCAAATCAATTCACAAAACTGCAACTATTTTGCACTGCAATTACTGCACTTTTTTCAAGCGCATCTATTAGATGACGCTTGAAAAAGTTATTGTGCTTACTAGTAAACATTTGTTGCTATTTTGTACAGTGTTAGATGAAAATCCTACAAAAAAGTGTTGTTCAATATGTTTTTATGGATCTTCATCAATACCGAGCCAATTTTATAATAAATTGGCTGATTAGAATGAGATTCGATTACAACATTCAGTGCCCTGAGTAACCCATTCATTTGAATTGAATGGGGTATAATTTTAGGAAAGAATAATTTTTGACTTTCAATTTCTGCATCTTCATAAAAAAATGTTGAAAACTTCCAAAGAAGAGAAGAAAGCAATTAATTTCGAGTGAAGTTTCAACAAAGATGTGTAGATCATGGAAAGAAGTAACTTTCAGATACAAACTGGCAGAAGAAGCCAACTATTTTTATATGATCATTGAATAATACAAAATAAACATTCAGTTTGAGCTCCAAGCATTCGTGCTTGGCAACATCATGGCCTAAACATGAGTATGTTTCGGCTATGATGTTGAGAAATCTAAATGTATGGGAATCTAAATCAAATAGGGGTTTCCTGAAAATTTCTTGAAATTAATCAGCCCTTTGGGTGGTTGTGTAGAAATCTTCAGTGAGTAGTTGAAATTTCTATTGTGGTTGCAACTCTTTTGCTTATTTCATATAAACAAAATACCGGAATTCCATAAAAATCAAGGTTTCCAGGTGCGCCACTGAATGCATAAAAATCTGAATGCATCAAGAAGAAAACTATGAGAGAAAGTTATTGAAAACTGCAAATGAAAGTTAATCTGAACGATAGAAGTTTGGAGGTGTGATTCTGACATCGAAGAGAAACCATACATTTTACATACATACTCATTTCAACAATCTGTTTCTTATGAAAAAATTATTTCATTCGAATTATTATCGATGGAATACTGTTTAGCTATCGATTGTCTTGCATAATCTTTTACTGAGTGTTGGAAATTTCCTGTAAAAAAGCAGTCAGTAGAGCTATGAATACAAATTGAAATGGTTTTGGTCGGGGCAGTAATTCTACACCTTCTCAAAATTTGAACTTATCTGAATAATAACCAGAATATACAGAGTTGCACCAAAATTATAAGTGAATGTTTCTGTTGCAATGCGGTTCCCTCAGGAGTATTCTGATTTATAGATTTTTGTGTAATCACTGTATATTTCCCGTGTAGTTGCTGATATAATTCACGAGCTTTTTGAAAACTCACCGCTTTCTTTCAATCATGCTTCTATCTTAAATCTATAGTACCAAATTATTGCACTTGTTACTAATACTTTCATTAATAATGCTAATAGCACTCTCAAATAGCACTGCTATTATTCGAAAACATAGTATGTTCTGTGTGTTCGTTTCACGTCGTATCAACTCATTTGTTCCTCTCTCATGAACTGAAAACGTGTTGGTTATGATTGAAACTATTTTTTGTCTCCCTCACATCAGGATTTTCATTTATTATTCGGTTTTCATGAATTTTTTTCAATTGAATATAAATATAGATTGTGGTTTTTTACCTAGAAAAGTTCATATTGCTCATTAAATTTTCATATATTCTCACATTAATTTCAATACGTGATTCCAAATCGTCATAATGAACAATTTTTTGATGTGGATATCTCAATGTATAATAAAAAGTGAACAGTGAACATGTACAAAACACGCGAAATTTGAACGTTCACCTAATTTTTTGAACAGTTCAAGCATACTAAGTGACAAAGGAAGGTAAACATCCATTTATATTGAAAATATTTCAATAATGTTTTGCATGTGTATTTATGCTGAGGCCAGTAGAAAGCCAGTAAAATTTCAACCGTATCGAAAGCTATTCTGCTATATCTATAGACCTACATATAACAAAACTTCAGGAAAAAATTTTCAGGGAAAAGCTACAAATGTTGTATGATAGTAATACACTATAAAAAATTATTACTATGAAAGGTTGCTGTTAGTGAGGTTGGCCGTGTCGAAAAGAATTACATTTAAACAATTGAAACATGTCAATTCAATAAACAAGTCACTAATTAAAAGAGCTTGACTCCTCACAGGATACAAAGAAGAATATTACATTGAAATTTAATAAAAATCGTTAATTGTTTCAAAATTATGGATTACCGTTAAAAACCATGAAGTTGAAGAACAAAGAGAGAGACACAAAACAACTGACAATGTCAGCTGTCATGTAATTCAGTTTGAAAAGGTGTGTTTGTTTGTAGATGGTTTGTTCCATGGCTTATCATCTACAAAGTGACCAACGGATAATCCTCTTATCAACTCTGCAGAGGCGTACCAAAATAATATTTTAATCCATTTAAACACATGGGTTATTACGTAAAAATTGTTATAGTTGGTGGCGCTACGTGGTGTTAATGGTAAAACTGATTACATTTTCTTAATATGCCTAATACAGTACTTCAAAAAAACAGAAAAATTCACAAAATTCTCATTATGTTCCTTTTATATAGAAAGAGAACTACAGAGCAAAGAAATAATTACCTATGTTATGCTTATGAAGTTTCAGAATCCATTGACTCGTCCGAAGAGGAATCCCCAGTCACACTTAAATCTATTATTATTTGGTCGAAAACAGTGTCTACCATGCCGTTCAATCTCCACATTTTCTCTTCTTTCTTCCTTGATCACATGGGCTACAGCATTAGCCCATTGCTAATGCCATTAAGAGAGTCATAGTTACGACCGCACCGGGGGGCCTGGGGGGCCAGGCTCTTGCGAGACACCTCTCCCACACATCTAGCTTGAAATCGGCCAACGCCTGTTGCCCGCAGATGTGGGATTGGGTGGTTGACCGATAACTTTACTGGGTGAGTGCCGTGTGGTCTGCACCGGGGAACTGTCAAACACCCATAAGAGAGAGACAGTGATCCCCCGCCACTCACCCCATTAGCCCCATTGCGAGTTCTAATAAACGTTAGACATCAGAAATTTTATATGTCACGTTTTCACGAGCTACGTAACCCTCAATTTGAGCCCAGATTAATTCTATAGGGTTTAACTCGCAATGGTAAGGAGGAAGTCTCAAAATTGTGATGCCTTCAGCACGAGCTATTGTATCCACCACATGCTGGCGATATCTGTCACGATGCTGTTTAATGACACTCATAAGCTCGGCCTCAACCGTGTCCTCGGAAAATGGAATTCCTTTTTGTCCTAACCAACTCTGCATGTCTGCTTTTCTAGTGGTCATAGTTGGCAGCTGTGATAAGAAGCGTTATCCATTACTATTACAGAATTTGTCTCGACTCGTGAAAGAAGGGATTCAAACCATTCTTCATATCGTTGGGCGTCTATGTCTTCGTCGCCCATATATGTAGCCACTCTCGCTACCGTCGACACGGATATTCCCGTTAAAAATGAACACTGGGCTACAGCTTCCTCTGTACGGAGTGTATTTTTTTAATTTTCGTACACTCTACAGACAATCTGTTTTTCTTCTAACGACATAAACTTCCGCTTTCTTTGTACATTACTTGGACCTGCTACGGCATCCATCTTAATACTATAAAAATAATAAAATTCAATCATATTATTCAGCTATTTGTCAGTTGTTTACTTACCGCAAAAACTATTTTAAAGTTGATGTATTTTGAAAAACACTTTATTATGAGATTTTCACTAGAACAGAATAACAAATCCGCCACATGTGTTTCGCTGCACAGTAGCTTTTTCAAGCGTGTTCACTATCTGAATTCTACATACATTGTGATTTATATATACTTTTTAAAATATTACTATCTACCTAGAAACTAATAATACTCTAGGAACTAGTTAATAACAGTTATACCCGAGTTTAACGAACATTTATACCTGAATTTAATGACTAGGTCAAATAATTATCTCACAATAAAGTGTGAATGTGATGAAAATCTATGATAATATATTTTGAAAAACAAGTTTCGGCCAACTCTATCTTATATTTTAAAGTTAATAAATAATACAGTCTATTTAATGAATATAATAAAATATATTCAATGAATACAAAACAAAGTCACCTTCACAAGAAACAGAACACACTACGCCTATGCAGATGAGAACGCTTGATAATGAAAAACCGAATGGCTAGTTATGGCATTTAAGGACCCAAATATAATAGACCTACGAAGTATTGATCAGTTTACCGGTGTTTCAAAGTATTTAATAAACTGGTTCACCTATTCGCTCGTACATTCTATCGATATGCAGAAGCTATCTTGTTACGGGGGCAGATTTCATGGGATCATCTTACTTTTCAATTAATTACAATGGCGATGCATAAATAATAAAAATGATCCCGGTAAGAATTTAGTTCTAACATTTAACATTGTTGCCGTTAGCTCTCAGTTCAATTTGTATATGAATTACCTTCAATTGAAAATTGTTATACTATATTATTCGTCAAGTATGTAAGTAAAAAACTATTTGAAAGATTTTCAATATAAATGGGTGTTTACCTTTCTTTGTCACTTAGTATATATTCATATTATTATACTGCTGATGATATATATGACCCATATGTGCGGATTTATTCCATTTACTGTAAATTGAGCTGAAGTGTGAGACGAAACATAACCAGAAGTTCATACCATTTTACTGTTATTTCTAAAAAAAAATTAAAAAATGTAAGGCTGTGACTGATATAACTTCAGATATTGAAGCATGTTGTAACAAAAGTTTGACTTCTCTTCTCGTTCTTATATAAGAACTAGTGTATACATTTGAGAGTTAGATTGTGAATAATTAAATTGGTGGTGGGTAAATAATCGTTTCCTGTATTATGTTCATTTTCAGTGTCTCTGGACCAGCTCATCTCTACCTACTTGATACATGTATATACATACCATTTGTGTTCAACTAATAAATTTTTCTAATCTGCCTTTTCAATGGAGAATCTCTTCTTCTTTCCCGTTCTAGCATGTTCACCTGTGGCTGTACCCTAAGCGAACCATTTACTTTCTTTCTGAACCATTTGAAATACTTCCTTATCGGGTTTTGTGAAGGTCTTATGTCTATTCCTTCCAAGGAAGTGGAATTTGTAAATAATTGTACAAAAAACGCCAATCAACAACATAACACCTGTGAAAATGAAACTGTTGATATGATAATTCATGTTCGATTGTTGACAATGTTTTCAGAACCAAGAAAAGTTTTACCAATATTCAAAACAGATGAACCACAATGTCCGGATGGAAAACTGATGTGTGGTAACAAAGAATGTATCGATAAAGAACTGTTTTGTAATGGCAAACCTGAATGTAAAGACGAATCAGATGAGAATGCATGTGGTAAGTATTTCTGAAGTATATTTCAGGATAGTTTTTTCTCGTTTATTTTTAAGAAGAAGATTTCAAACAGTTGTTTGGGTACTTATCCAGTATATTCCATTCAAATACAGGGCGTTTATTAAACATGCGGCAAAATATCAAGGGACTTTTCTTTGGAGTATTCTAAGGATATTTGGTCCTTTGATGATTTTTGATAGGGCGCTTTGTTTCGAAGATACGGGGCGAAATAGAATTTAGACAACAATTTTGATAATTTTAAAATTATCAACGTACCCGAAATAAAAGTATAGCGTACTACACTGGACCTACCACTGGAAATCGGATAATTGCTGTAGTCTAATCAACAAGTTCAAAAACATGAAAAATAGAGATAAAGGTCCTGAAAATATGAGCGATAGCTCAATAGATTCGATATTGGATTCAATAATACTTCATTATAATAAAAAAAAAAAAATCATGACACTTTTTTATATATAGCTGTTTTTATATTTATTTCTGAAGCAGAAAATGCTTCAGAAAGAAATATAACGTTGATCAATATTTGTTTATAACAAATTGTTAAACTAATAAACAATTAAATAATAAACCTTTTATTTTTTCTACCAAACTATTTAAAAGTGTAAATTATGATTTTTGAAAGCAAAATTATTTTTACATGTCGTAATAGCCGCGCGGAACCCTATTTTCAACGTCAAATTAAAATTATAAATAATGGAAATAGAGTTTCGGGAGTCAGGACTTTTTTATCGGAAATTTCCTCCTCTTAAACGAGCTATTCTCAAAATTGCTTGAATATTAATATTTTTTGAGTTATTAACGAAAAACTAAATACCATTTTTTTAAATCTCATTTTGTTAATAACAATTGCAATTTTTTACCTGCACCAAAATCGAATGAGCTATCGCTCATATTTTTAGGACCTTTATCTCTATTTTTCATGTTTTTGAACTTGTTGATTAGACTACTGTGATTGTGATTGTGTGATTGTGTGTAACGGAATCAGAAACGATCCTGGTGTTTTTGAAAGAGTTCGGGAGTCGATAATGAGAAAATTGGGGGGGTAGTCATTTTCAACAGTTCTTGTAGATCAAGAAACATTACATGTTATTTTTGGTAATAAATTGTTATTGTCGAAATTCGTTGCGTATCTTCGAAACAAAGCGCCTGATCAAAAATCATGAAAAGACAAAATATCCTTATAGTAGTCCAAGGAAGAGTCCCTTGAATTTTTGCCTCATGTTCAGTGAACACCCTGTATATTCTCAACACTTTTTGACAGTTATCCCCAGCTTTCATAATTATTTGAATTCTACAGATCAACTGAAACAATTTTGATGTGAGTTGAAGATGAAAATTTTCATCAAAGAGTATTTTTTTTAAGAAAATGTTCGATGTTACCGGGTTTGTAGCTTTGTAAACCTGATGATTCGTCTGCTACTGCGGCAGATATTATCAAAGGCGATGCAGACGAAGTGATCTACTATGCGCAAACTGCAAATGGTTCTAGTACGTTTATACTGTAAATGTGTCTAGGAGTCGAACAACCGACTGCTCTTGTACCTGATTGGTTCGACCCTTCTTCGATTCACAACACAACAAAAAAATATTTTTTGAATGTTTCCTACACTAAATTAGTCAATTTCCACTAATTTTGGGGTGATAAAAACAAAAATAACAATGAAAAATTTTTATTAGCTCTGGTTTTTGAGATACACAGTACTTAATCTTAAAGAGTAGTTATACTATACGTGAAAAGTGAAAGTACATAAAACAATATTGTTATGTTTCTTTTAGAATATTTTAAGTACAAAATTAATA